GCTGGGCTGTGGAAACGCGGATTCGCTTGTACACTCCACAGCGGGCGGCAGCCTAGAAGCCAGCGGCTCTATGCATAGGCTTCAGGACTGCGGATTTGGGGTGTTCAGGTGGAGCGCTATCGCCCGAAGACTTTGAATGATATTCTTTCTCATGATGACATCATTCAAACTAGCAAGTCTTTCAAGGCTTTATGCACGAACTGCTGCGCATTATAGATCTCCGAAACATTTCGTCCTTAACTAGCTGCAGGCCCTGGTGCCGAGAAGCCGGCTGTTGCAGCTGAGGCTTCACGACTTATTGCATGCTGTTCAGCGTTTGCGGCTTGGGTGTGCAGTTCAGCGGTATGTTGACAAGGGGCAGCTGCCCCACCTTCTCTTCCATGGCCCTCCCGGTGAGCCAACATGGTATTTAGGGTGTGGGCTCCGGAGCCAACGGTCTAAGGCTTAGGGTGTACAGTAGGTCGTTCATTTCTTCGATATGTAGAGTGCGTAGTCTCGGCTTCTGCGTTTGAAGCCTTCCGGAAGATTGCCGACATCGATGGATTAGGTTTGAAACTTCACTAGTTCCGCAACCGTAAACTCTAGACCTGCCAGTTTCAGGACTGCGAGCAAACTGCTTAGGGCGCAGGGTTCAGGGTTTTGCGCTCATCGTCCGGGAGTTGTGTTCAGGAACTGGCAAGACATCCACAATTTTAGCCGTAGCTAGGCAGCTCTACGGCTCGCAGCAGGCATCTCATGTGCTGGAGGTATGCTCTAATCCCTAATAGGTTGTGCTGGGGATATATTCGCAGGAAAGGATTCCAGGAGGAAACTTTTTCTAGGAATTCTTGCCGTTGGGAGTGCCGCTACAGTTGCCGTTGCTACTGCTACTGCCGGGGGTTGCTGTTTTCGCAGCTAAATGCTTCGGATGACCGAGGGATTGGATCGGTGCGGGAGTTGGTGAAGACATTCGCGGAGACAACTTCTGCTTCCTTTTCGCTGTACGTCTGCAACCAAGGTTGCGCTAAAGTGCATGCAAATAGGACAAAAAGCCACCTGTGGGAATCGAACCCACGACCTTTTGATTACGAATCAAACGCACTACCAACTGTGCTAAGGAGGCGGGGTGGTGCGACGGGTCCTGAACCATAATTGCCAGAACAGCGCCTGGGACTAGTGTGCTGCGGTGGGTATTGGGGCTTCGCGTTTCTAGTCACTGCACATCTTGCGGTTTAGTGTGTACGGATGATGTGTTCGTAGGTCGGGCGCTGCTTCCTCCGGGCCCCCCAAACTCAAGTTGATTATACTGGACGAAGCGGATCAAATGACCTCCGCGGCTCAGAATGCGCTTAGAAGAAGTCTGCCATTGTTGCTTTTGCCTCACCAGCACTTGCTATTGATGCAGCAGTAGCTACTATGTCTATGCTATTTTGGCCATTTGATTCCTGTCGCGCTTCCTGGGACACTCGGTAAATGGCCCATAAAATCTGAAATTGTTTGATGCCGGTCGAATGTACTCCATATTTGTGAGTGTGTATGGTCCAGGGTTTGTTGTTGAGGGCTTGTTCTTCGCAGTCATGGAAACATACGCGCGGAATGTGCGGTTTTGCCTTATATGCAACTTTGTCA